TGAGAACCTTCTGGTAAGCTTTCTTCCGTCCTGCCCCCAAACCTTTGCTCACGAGGTTGCCCCAGCAGGAGGCCCCTTGCCCTTACAACCCCAGTCTGCTTCCTGCTTCTTTTCAAGATGAAGACTCTGCTCTCCCCTCCCCCTCTGATCCCCCAACCTTGAAAATTATGCAGCCATGTAAATGCCATTCGCGGTTAAGCCATGGTTGCTTTTCTTTCCTGCCCAGCATTTTGTTTTCCCAGGAGTTAATAATTGTCCTTTGGCTTACTGTTTCCCATCACTTATCACTAATTCCACCCTAGACTCGTCCCGGTGTGTAAATGTTCTCTCAAGACATTCAAACACACCAGGCATTCAAGGGATTTCATCTTGAAGCAAATCTCTGTGGCAGAGCCCTCTGACTGGCTGCAGGCTGTCAGACTGGCTGCAGGCTCTCAAACTGCCTACGCCCTGTCCCTGGGCGCAGAGGGCAACCTGAATGTCCCTTTACCATCTCCTGGGGAAGCCCCCCACCACATGTTGCAGCCCTCAGTCCCTCGCTCCACTGTGTGGGAGCCCTCAGTTTCTGGTCAATACCCCCCTACACTGCCACGATTTTTTTTTTTTACAATAAGCGTGTGTGTGTGTACTGCTTGTGCAAAGTATTACAAATATATTTAAAAAGATTGAGACGAGTTGAGAAGCCGAGGCTTGGATGCCTGGCTTGGCCTCTGCTATTCAGTGTGGCCTTGAGTAGACCTCTGCCTCCCTAAGTCTTGTTTCCATTATCTATAGAACCACAGGTTACCACTGGGTTACTCATTAACCCTTCATGTATTCATTCAACAGACTTGGTTTAGCAGTGACTCTTAAGAAAACTGTTTACGGTGGGAAATGTCAACCATGAGCAAAGGGAGAGAGAATCGTTAATGAAACCTCAGGGACTGATCAGCCAGTGTCAACAGTCATCAACAATTTGCTGGTATTTTTTCATTTATACCCTTCCGGGAAGATTTTGGGGAATTGATTATTTTGAAATAATTCGATTCACAGGAAGTTGCAAAGCAAAGCTGGTGCCCCCCTCCACAAATCACCACTCAGATCCTTGTGTTACCTCTTTTTATTTAAAAAACATTTTTTATTGAAGTCTAGCCAGTTTACAATGCTGTGTCAATTTCTGATGTACAGCATCATGTTTCAGTCATATATATGCATACATATATTCCTTTTCATATTCTTTTTCATCATAGATTATTATAAGATATTGAATATAGTTCCCTGTGCTAAACAGTAGAAAGTTGTTGTTTATCTATTTTATATATATTAGTTGACATCTACAAATCTCGAGCTCCTAATTTGTCCCTTCCCACTCCCTTTCCCCCCCACCACCGGTAACCGTAAGTTTGTTTTCTAAGTCTGTGAGTCTGTTTCCGTTTTGTTAATAAGTTCGTTTGTGGCTTTTTCTCCCCTGTGCTACCTCTTTATAGATGTGTTTTCTGGAGTGGCTGTCCCATTTTACATGCCCACCAGCAAGGGCTGAGGGACCCAGTTTCTCTACATCCTCAACAGTGTTGGCCATTGTCACTATTTTGGGGGGAGAGAGAGGTAATTAAGTTTATTTATTTATTTATGTATGTGTGTATGTAATGGCGGTACGGGGGACTGAGCCCAGGACCTCATGCATGCTAAGCATGCGCTCTACCACTTGGGCTGTACCCTCCCCGCTTCTGTCCATTTTCAAAGTAGATTGTTTGCTGTTGTACTGTGGAGCTTCTCCCCATGTGAACGCCTGGCCTTTCCAAGTTATGTTTGTCAAAACTGAGAAGTGAACATTGGAACAATACCAGAACTAAACTCCAGACTTCATTCAGATTTCCCCAGTTTTTCTACTCATGTCCTTTTCTGTTCCAGGATCACATCCAGGATCCCACAGTGCTTTGCATCTGGGGCATTTGGAAATAAATGCTAGACATCACGTCATTTCACAGATAAAGACGTACCTATGAATTTCTAACAGATAAGGGCTTGTAAAGACAATGTCACAAATCATTATCACACCTAATGATCGATATTAGCAATAGTCCTTAATGTCACCTAGTAATGTCACACTTTCCTTGATTATCTCAAAGATGCCTTCTGATGGCTGGTTTGTTCAGCTCCGAGTGCTGACAAAGTGCATACTTAGTGTGGGGTTGATTTGCCTCTTAGGTCTTTTAAAATCCAGAACAGCTCCTTCCACCCTCTTCCGTGCCATCTATTTATCGAAAAAGCCAAGTCCTTCTTTCCGAAGCATTCCTTACAGGCTGGATGTGGCTGATGGCATCCTGCTGATGTCTACCATGTTCTTTTGTCCCCTGCACTTCTTACAAATAGGTAGAGCAATAGACGTGATCAGATTCAGGTTAAATTTTGTGGCTAAGACGACTCCTCAGGTGGGGCTTGTCCAGTTGCCAACTTGCAAAGTTAAGCTGGATCGGTAGGCGCAGATGGGGTCACCGGAGCCTGCTAATTTCCACCCAATGGTTTTAGTAGCCATAGATGATCATGTCCCCCTGATACAGTCCTAGTGGCCTGAGGGCTTCCTGCCGCAGTGGGATATCCTGGGGCCATCTTGTACATTTCCTGCTCTGGACCTAGATTGGCACATTTCTCCAAGGAGTCCCCGTTCCTTCAAGAAGGAAATGGTATTCACAGAGACCACACTAGGCACTGATGAATACAGTTACCACTTCCTCGCAGTTCTTTTTACCCTAAGCTATATCCCTTTAGGTATGTACAATCAAAATATCATGTTTTCAAGACACATGAAATACTTCTTCATACAGCTACGCCACCACCTTGACATGGTTATGTTCATTTGTTTCTGTTTGGTTTTGATTCTCTGGGATTGCTCTGGTTTTTTTTTATTTTTTTAAATGACACAGAACATTTTCATGAAACAATACCTGTATAGTTATCGCCTCATGTTTATCCTACAAAAGGTAGCATATTGTTCTCTGCCTTGCTTTTGGACACATCATTATGTTCCTGGAGACATCCTGGGGGTAGGTGGTGCTTGGAGCTCTTCCTCATCCCTTTATCCAGCTGACTCAACTAGGCTGGAGTGACAGACGATGGAGTCGTTGCCAGTGCTTTGCTGTTACTGACAAATACCAATCCTTGACCAGTCTGTAGGACTCCCAGCTTCTTTCGTTATTTCAGATGCGGGGTCAGGCTCTCTGGATGCAGTGATCATGGTGGAGACTGCTGCTTGCTTCCCGAGTGCCTGTTCGCCCATTCCTCTCTGGTAACAGATCCTTAGCTGCGCCCTTGGCTGTCTGAATACAGACTACATTGCCGAACCTCCTTCACAACTGGGTGCGGTCACATGACCAGTTCTGGTCAGCGAGATTTAACTGGGAGTCTTGTCTAACTCCTTCTGGGAAACTCTTTGTTCCCAGAAGTGCTGGGATTCTCCTTGTTCACCCCTTCCTCTGTTTTCTCCCTCATCTCCATTCTTGTGTTATGGCTGGAGCTCTGGCTACCATCTTGGATCAAGGCAATAAAGGCCACACCCGAGGAATTATAAAGCAGTGAGTTGGAGTGATCTGGAAGGAGTCTTGATCTCTAATGATTTTTTGGAATATCCATACTAGTCCAGAATGTTTTACCTCTGGACTTCATTAATGTACAAGACAAATAAATGTCTCCCTTGGTTAAGCCACCATTATTCCGAGTTTTCTCTCATATGCGTAACTGAACCTAATCCTAACTGACAGAGGAGAAAACCAGTTGGGGAGGGTGTAGCTCAGGGGTAGAGTATATGCCTAACATAACATGCATGAGGTTCTGGGTTCAATCCCCAGTACCTCCATCAAATAAATAAATAAACAAACCTAATTACCTCCTCCCAAACAAATTCAAAATAAAAGAAAACCAAAGAAATATGGTCTCTGTCCTTATCTAGTGGGGGGGCAGCCATTTCATGACATACTATTATTATTATTATTGCTAAACTATGAAAGAAAAACACAAGGCTGCCCTCTCAATGAAAAACCAAGAGTGATAGAAGAAGAAATTAATCTTAGATGAATGTATTCAGATTTTTGTAGTCAGAAAACCAAGAAGGAAGCCATTTTTACGTCTGTGTGCATGGAAGTTTTATGACCTTTAAAAAGGTACAAGTTGATTTTGTTTCTTTCAGTATTATACACTAGATGCTCTAAGTGACCTTTCTGATGAAAATAGCTAAAATTGCTGAATGAAAGACTTAAAAATCATCCTTTTAAGTGAGCCAGTTAGATGGAGAAAAAGTAAGAAATTCCAGAGTCCAAAAATTAAATCAAGACTGCAACCTAGAGAAGTAAACAGAACACTTTCGCCTTGAGGGCACTTGTGGACATTGGTGAAGGCATGGGTTTTAGTTGGTTTTATTTGTTCTTGTTTTTCAATTTTAAATTGATTTTTTGTTTGGAAGTGATGTTGAGATTTATATAGCTGCCATTACTTTAGCTACCCAGAATTCTCCAAAAAAATCAATGTTTTGAATATGCCAGTCCTTTCCCATTTGATTTATAGATTGAATACAGTTGTAATCTAAATACCATTTTAAAAATGGAGCTGTACAAGGTATTTCTCAGATGGATGTGGAGAAGCAAATGGCCAGGAATAGCTAAGACAGAAAGAGGTGAGGCTGTGCTTTGGCAGGTTCTGAGACTTGTCCTAGAGGTCCTGCATCTGCGATGGTGTGCTGTCAGCAAAGAGAGGGACACACAGTCTAGTGGGGCAGACGAGAGAATGTGGAAGCACACAAGGCTCGTGGAGAAATTCAATGTGTGACGAAGCTCACACTGTAGGTCAGTGGAGAAAGGAGATGTTTTCTAGTGAGCGATGCTCGGACAGTTGGTTCTCCACGTGGAAAATGAAGTCTGATAACATCAGATGTTGGCAAGCCTGTGGAACCACAAGAAAACTCAGATATTGCGTGCAGGTAGACCTGAGAATCGGTGCAACCCTTGGAAAAGTGATTTGTCCTTCCTTAGCAGGGTGGAGGATGCGTGCTTCTGTGGTCCAGGGACCTCCCCCTGCATGTGATCACTGGAGACACCTGTGCTGGGCATCAGGGCACATGGCCACAAACATACAGAGCAACCATCTTTGTAACAGCATGAGAAGTGAAATCAACCCCAGCATTCATCAAGCTGGCAATGGGTCTAAATGGATGGAAGTCAGTCCCGCAACAGAATAGAATGCTCAGAGGATGAAGGGACCCCAGCTCTTACGGAGCACCATGGGTGAGACTTGGAATTCCAATATTCAATGAAAAAGTAGCTTGCAGAAGAATACACACAGCACGATTTCATTTATATAAAGTTGGAATCAGGCAGAAGGAAACAATATGTCATTCAGGGATGCACACAGAGGTGGCGAAACTATAAAGAACCCGGGGGTGATAAATGCCAAATTCAAGAAAGAGGCCACCTCTGAAGCGGACGGGGCAGGGATGTGAGAGTCCCTCATGGGCAACGTCACTTTTCTTTTCTGCAAGCTGAGCAGTGAGCACGCAGGGGCTCGTGGTGGTGGTCTTCCTACTCACACGTATTTTGTAAATATTCTCTTGTGTCTTCTTCATACCTAACAGAAACAGTTTTAAACATGAATAGTTCAGCTGAATTACCTGTGGTGAGACACCATGATCCTGTGTTGGCCTGAAACCTGTCTGCATCATTGCCTCGCCAGGGAGCTGGAGGGCCCGGTGCTCTGACTCTGAGGCCTTGGTCAGGCCAGTTGGAACCCCGGGCTGGTGGGTACCCGTGCTTAAAGTGCTGAAATACTTCTGCTCCCACTGGTAAATGGCAGCTCCAATGCTCCGCACCTGCTGGTCCCCCGCCCACATCTTGATCCTGTAACTAGCACCAGCCGGTACAGCAGAGGCCCTCTGAGACCCTGCTCCAGCCCCCGGAGCGGCCTCCCTGCCTCGCCCCCCCCCCCCACGCGCGCGCGCGCGCGCGCGCGCGACGACGACGACGACGACCGTACCGGTCCGGTACCGGTACCGTACCGGTACCGGT